TGACTATTTGTGCAAATTGTTTTGTATTTATTAGTAGGATTTATTATGGATAGTGGATCATGTTGTGCTTGAAGTACATCACCCCTACCTATGTGAATACAAATTGTTTTATATTCACTCTTATTTTCAGACGGTGGTCAGGTTGTCCATGAAAAGTGTTGGCCATACTAATGTGAACTGCATTACTAAAATAATATATCCAGTTTGGGGCCTTGTTGTGGTCTCTCCCTTCCACATTCTCTTTCAAGCTAATAAATACTGCTGTAATATTCTTAGATGTTTTGCTTACAGAAATATTTCAGAAACAGCATCAGCAGCTTCTTTGTAATTCTCTTTTCTCCCTTGAGAAAGCATTTGGAGAGAGGAGCATTTGATAAAGAAGTAGTTTCCAATACGTTTCTAGTGTGCTTTACACTAAGGAGAGTCAAACTATTGGAATAATAACTGCTCTTTTATCTCTGAAGACAGCAAGCAAAGGAAAAAGACTTAAAAACAAACAAACAAACAGTATTTCAAGTGGCATATAGAAAGTTTATTGAAATTAGAAGATAAGAGACATGATTCTCTGCCCTCTAACTTGAAGGAGTCAACAGAGGACTGAAACTAGTCAGTTAAGCTTCCCCCCTCTTCCCCCCCAAGTGCAATGGCATGTGTAATTGTTTAACAAGCTAGTTATAGAACACTGAAGAGAAGACATTCAGAAAAAGAGCTAATTTAGCTTTTATCTTCTGTGGCAACTTTTTTATTTTTATTTTTTCTTTAAGTAAAGAAGAAAATTCATGTTTGATTAGCACTCATTAATTTTTTTCTGGAAAATTTCACAATACGAATCCCCATATAAATACCTGAGACAAAAATGCTAAGCTTCGTTGTGGTGTGTTAACTTTGGGTAGCTGCCAGGTGCCCTTCAAGCTGCAATCTCATTGCACCTCCTCAGCAGAACAAGGGGAGAAAACACGACAAATAACTCATGGAATGAATGAAGATCTCTCTCTACAGAGAGATCACTCACAAACGAACATCTTGGGCAAAACAAATTTGACTCGTGGATAATTAGTTTAACATTCTGCCAATTAAATATACGATAGGATAGAGAGAAACAAAAACAAAACTAAAAGCACCTTCACCCCACCCTCCCTTCTTCCCAGGCTCAGCTTCACTCCTGAGTCTACCTCATCCTCCAAGCAGTGTAGGTGGATGGGGAGTGGAACTGTGGTCAGTTCATAGCATTTCTTCTCTGCTGTTCCTCCCTCCTCACACTCTTCCCCAAAGTAAAATTCCTTTCATGGACCACAGTTCCTGCCAGGAGCCTGCTCCTGCAGGGGCTCTCCATGGGCCGCAGTCTCCTCCAGGCCACATCCACCTGCTCCACCCGGGCTCCTCCATGGTGGGGGGGCTGCAGCATGGAGATCTGCTCCATGTGACAACCATGGGTTGCAGGGGGACAGCCTGCTCCACGAGGGACATCTCTACAGGCTGCAGGGGAACTTCTGCTCTCCTGCCTGGAGCATCTCCTGCCCTCCTTTTGTACTGACCTTGGGGTCTGCAGGGATGGTTCTCTTGCATTTTCTTATTCCTCTCTCTCTCCCGGCTCCTGTGCAGCATTTTTATTTCTTTCATTATTCTTTCTTAAGTATATTGTTACAGAGGTGTCACCAGAGTTACTGCTAGGCTCAGCTGTGTCCTGTGGTGGGTCAGTCAGAGCTGGCTGAAACAGTTTCTGTCCAGCATTGGGGCAGCCTCTGGTCTCTTCTCACAGAGGACACACCTGCAGCTTCCCTGCTACTGAAACCTTGCCATGTACATTTGCCCAGTGCATTCTTTCAAACAGAAAACATTTTTTTTAGTTTGGTTTACTTGTAAAACAAAGCAAATAAAGCTTGAGACTAACTTTCTCCTGCCGGATGCTGTGATCATGGAATCTAGTCAATTTAATTAAAATAGACGTTTTCTTACAAATTCTATTGATTTGGATGAACTCCCAATCTCCATGAAATACTTTTCTCATTAAAAAAATATCAGCCAGCCAATTATTATTAATGTTTTAAGCCAAAGGAAAGGTTTAGAAAACGATCTGCCAGGAAAATTTTAAGATTCTAATCTACCATTCCATGTAAATTTTAATATTTAAATGCAATTGAAAAAGACACTTAGCCACTTTATACTTTACTCTCTCCCATAGCATATTCAGTGACTATATCCTACCTAACACATGGAATTGTATGTGAAGTTGAATAAGAACATTTTCTCCACAGTTCAAAGAGAGCTAAGTGCTAGGATGTCCATTTCGATGCTGTTGCTGAAGGAAATAGCAGAAATGATAAATTGCTGGGATCTTGGGTTCTGAAGGTAACAATAACTGGGCTTTTTGTGCAGCAGCATCTCATGCTGTGCCCCCTGTCTCAGCAAATGACATCCTTAAGAGCACACCTTGAAGAGGCAGATGGAGACCTGGGTCATGTGCCTTTGCATAAGTGAAATCCTTTAAGGAAGAAGAAAACTGGTTCTTTGAATTTTGAAAAATAAACATGAAATAAAAATAGTGTATATTATATTTAATAACACTCATGTTCAGAATACCTTACAGTTCAAAACACTATGAAACCATCAAGTAATTAACTTTCACATAATTAAACTAACATAATTCAAGATGCAAAGATGCAACAGAAGAGTTTTAAAATGCACAAGCCAAATCCCCAAGCACACCTGAGAAGCTACACAACTGTGTAGCCAGATTCTATACAATTCTTGATATGCCACAGTGTCCAACATCAGCAGAACACATCAGCAGAACAAATCGTTTGGAAAACAATAAAGTCTCAAAGGAAATCTACGCTTATATATGGCTCTCCAGAGGGTCAGAATTTCATACTTTGACATTCAGGCCACCCATACTACCAATAGACGGAAAAGAATTGACCAGATAGTTTTTTATTTGTTTGTTTGTTTGTTTGTTTTCTTGTAAACAGTATAAGATTTTATTGATAACTGATTTTTACAGCTTACAGTATGATTCTGCTTTTTATACACTCGGAGGTTCCATTGACTTAAATTGGAGTAGTGAGCGCACAAGGAATAGAGAATAAAGCCTTTGAAGTTCAGTATCATTATTTAGATTTCAGGCATGCCTGGAGACAGCACTCTAGATTAATAAAATGCTTTGCTTCAATTAGCTCTGTGTCTCCTGCATCCCTCCCCAATTCCCTCTGCCCTTGTTTAACATACTCCCTTATCCCTTCACATTATCCAGACAGGTGCTCTCTGCAACCGCAGACGGCTGGAAGTTTCACGGAGGAGATTCAGTGTGGGGAGGAGGAGGGTGTATATCAGTTTCTTGTCTCTGATGACAGAGAGTGTGTGAATCTGTACAGGAGTGTGCTATGTTCTGCCTCAGTATTGTTTCAGAGATCATTTTAAAAGATCTTTGAAAGAAACAAAATTTTAGATCTCTTAAACAGATATGTTCACTTCTATGTATGGCAAGAACATTTTCACAATTTAGCACAGAACATGTAAATCAAATGAGTATTATTTCTAGCTGATTAATTCTGGGCCAATATGAAGAAAAAATATATATATATTGTGTATATCAAAGAAATCTTTATTGTAGTGGGACTCATATTTCTGCAATGATTTTGTCTGGTTTTCTACTGTAATAAACCCCCTCATTTCAGATTTCTTTGAAAGAGGCTTAGGAGCATAATGCAACGACCACTGGAAACTGATGCATCCTGCAAAGTGGGGGCAGGAAATTATAAGTTTCACATTGAGTTCAATGGGAAAGTCATAAGGCCCTGCTCCTTCTCCCTTGGGGTATTTTCCTATTTTATTGTCAGTACTATAATGGGCAATCAGTTCCTGAAATGGTGCCCTGCTGTCTAGATGAAGCATTTATAGGTTTTTTAAGCAGTCCATTTGAACACTGCAGAATAAAAAAGTCAGCCCTTGGAAGTTCAGGTTTTAGGGCCCTGATCCTCAATGAACTATGTGTTGGCAAACCTCTTATACACTTGGAATTCAGCACAAGATCAGGGTCTCGATTTCTCCATTTTCCACTGCAATTCAGACCTTTATTTATCACAGCTGGAAACAACATTCCAAATAAAAATGCTTCTAAAAACCAAAGTGTCTGTCCCTTTTAAAAGTTAACTTCCTTAGATTTATGCACATACATTTACATAGTAATCCTCTGAACAGAGATGGTGCTTCTAATGAATTAGGGGGTTACTACAGAAATATATAAATCATCACAAATGTTTTCCATACAGAAACACTTTCTTTGAAAAAAATTAAAAATAATGATAAAAAAAAATCTGTTAAAAACTCAAAGAAACAAAGAAGTCTTTTTTGAGGGCCTAACATTGGAAACTAGATCCAAGAAAGAGCTTACGGGCAAAGATTTAGGCCTAACATGAAACTAAGAGAATTTAGAGATCACTTAAGGTCAGTCTAATTTGTATTTAGAAGCCCAAATTTGCCTACAGCCCAGACCATTATCTAGGTCATCGCTTTTCAGCACTGCCTAATCCTCAAAAAAAATAAATGTATAAATTTTAGGTCTCTCTATAAAATTTTAGCCTTCCTCTATGGCTTAAAGTTTGCTATTGCTGAAAGTAGCCATGCTTGTTTAGAGCTGGCTGCTAAAGACATTGCCCGGATAAATTCTGATGTGATTGTGGTTTAATCAGAGGGTAGTAAGTCAATGAGCTAGCTACTTTTCCAGAAAAGTCTGAAAATATTGCTGTAGTGAAAACAGCAAAAGGGAATGACTTTTTTTCATATCTGCTTAATACACAGAATACTTTTTTTTTTTTTTTTTTTTTTTTTCCATAAAAGTTGGAGGTCCATTTCCAGCCCTGGGCTAACACTGTCCACAGCCTTAATGACAGACACAGAAAAGGACATGTTCCACCTGCCTGCTGAGGTGGCACTGATGTGAAGCAGGAGTAAGTGACTCTTGTCACTTACTTAGACTTTTAAGTGACTCTCTGAATTGTTACCAAATTTAATAGGAAAGATGGAAATCTGTCTTTTTTTTTTTTTTTTTTTTTTTTTTTTTTTTTCCCCAGGTGTTTACTGCCATTGAAATATTCCTATCCTTCGGTCTTTGTAACTGAATGGCATAAGAAATACATATCTATTCTGAGAGAGAACTAGAATTCCATTTCTCTCCCACTCAAAGGACTGTTGGAGAACTTTTTTTTTTTTTTTTTTGTAGTCACTTGTCTCTTCTGTATACAATGACTTAATTTCAAGAGCAAAGGCAAAAATTTATCAGTAACTCTTGTCACCAAAATCCTGCTCCTCTCTTAGGAGGTCAGAGAGGCACTGCTGTATGGGGAAGAAGGAAGCATCAATTGCCTCAAGATTTGAAGATCTGCGCACTGGATGAATGGTTTAACTGCCAGCCTAGACAGGGAGTGGAATTTATCACCACTTTTCAAACTCATTCCCTTTGGTGCTTATTCCTCCAAGGTGTGTAGGCTCTCAAAATAAGCATCTCACTCTTTTCATCTGAATTCTTTCACATCAGAGCAAGATTTTTTTCATGGAAACTAGCTACTTGCTCTCAGCTGAGTGACATATATATGAGTTCACCATACCATATTCATTTCCTGGGCTCAGTTAACCTTGTCTCATGTAAAATGTAGAAGAGGGATGATAAAAAGAGTGGGACATAGATTTCCAGTAAGATTTTCTTTTTCTTTTCTTTTCTTTTTTTCTTTTCTTTTCTTTTCTTTTCTTTTCTTTTCTTTTCTTTTCTTTTCTTTTCTTTTCTTTTCTTTTCTTTTCTTTTCTTTTCTTTTCTTTTCTTTTCTTTTCTTTTCTTTTCTTTTCTTTTCTTTTCTTTTCTTTTCTTTTCTTATTTGCATTCCATTTTTGGATACATTTGAAGACTGAGAATAAGGCTGTAGATGCAGATATAAAGATTCATGTGTCAACCTATCCCAAACTCCAGCTGGCCAGCTACAAAGCAACTTCAGTTCCAAGGCTGGGTGGTAGTGTTAATGTGGCACTGAGCCCAAGTTAACCAAGTGTCAGGAGACTCCTGATAAAGTGAGAGCATTGGCACCTTTGCAGCTTTTAAAGGCTTGAGACTGTATTTAAGTCACTCCCTTGGCCTCAGTGAATAGCTCCATTCAGTGGCAGGTGATTATCCTTAAGAGCAAGACCTATACGCACAGGGATAGAGAGCTCCTAAAGACACCCTACTGTGACTGTTTTTTTGGCAAGTCTCACCAGAGGCTTTGGCAGCCTCTCCTCTAAAGTGATAACTGTGTTTTGGCATGGCTATATTCTTCATGCAAACTAATATCACTGCCAACTTTAAGAACATGAAGAACTGATAATAATTATTGTTTTCACTGCTGGATAGCAGAGAACAACTGCAACACAGAGAAATATCATGACTTTTTTTTTTTTTTTTTTTTTTTTAAGAAAATGTATCTATTTGGTTTAGTCTAAGCAATAAAACCTAGTTATCTAAAAACATATTTTAATTGCCTTTTCATTATACACATGTACATTTTGCAGTGTATTACAATCTTTAATTAAGGTCCCATGTGGTTATCAGAGTAGTGTAATTAGTAACTTCCAAAAACAATGTTACATTAATGATAGGAAAAAATGTATTAGAAAAAATTAAAACAAAATAAAATAAAATGTATAATGTCTTAAAGATATATATACTTTTTTTTTTTTTAGGACCAAACTAAATGTTTCTTTTATTATTATTTTTTTAACTCTATTCAATGTTTGACAGAATGTAATGTTGGCAGATATGAATTCCTATTATTTCAAAAATGGAAATTGTTTACTTGCTTGGATTGAAAATGTCTCTTCAAAGTATTCATAATACAAGTTTAATCTGACCTCCTCTGGACTACCACATGAAGTTTTAATTCTGGAAAGAAGAGCAAAACAGAGTCTACAAAAATCGTGAAAAAGAAAAGAGATCAAAGGAAAAGGGATGGAAAGAGATGTAAATGGAATACATCTTGGAGCAATACATCATGTATTCTCAATGTTAACGGTAGAAATTATTTCCAACATTTATAGCAATGATTTATCATTTGTGTGAAACATAAAATCTAATAATAATATTGGGCAGGCATCTGCCTAATTTCTACTAGGGTTAACAGCCACTGCAGTGGGAATACGCAGAATTTTAGTACTTGTCCACTCATAGCTCTTTGAAGCACATTCTCTTTGTGAACCTTGTTGGCCAAAATCAAGGAATATGAGGAAGACCTGTTCATGAAAGGAAAAGTCCCCATGTCTAAAAAAAAATAAAAAAATACTACTAATAAAAGTATCTAAAAAAGTATTTCTCCGAGTTCTCTGAGACTCTGAAACTTCTTGCTGGCCTAACTAAAAGCTTTGTTTTGCCAAGCAAGTACAATTTATTCCACTGTGTGAGCAATGCCGTGGTGAGAATGCAGAGAGCAGTGACGTTTCAGCTAGGCAAGGTGAGAGTTCCTGTCTCCTATAACTCTGGGTTGTGATATGGGAACAGTTTAGACTGCCAACAATATGTGTGTTAATGATTAGTCTTGCTTCCAAGATCTCAGCAGCAGATGACTCATCTCATGCATCACAGTAGCTCCTAACCCCTTGATACTGGCTAGATGCTAGACAGATTGGAGACCTGTTGGAAAAAAAAATGTTATTACAGAACTCTGAATTATGCTGTATTCTAAATGCAGTAAGGCTGACAAGGCCTTGTAGGTGGCAGATGTCATTTTTACCACATGAATCTTCATTGCTGAAATTCCCACTCTAGCTCTTTTCGACTCCAAGTCTTTTGTTTACAACTGAAAAAGAGGAACTCTAATTCGATAATTAATTCTCACATCAAGTATTTTTGACTCTGTGTCTTTTGTTTACTCATAATTCCATGCAGTTTTTTTGTTTGTTTGTTTGTTTTTTTCTCCTGTTGCAAGGGCTGAGAAACAAGGGATAAGCAAACAGTGATGTAGGACCTAACCACTATTTATGCTTATTTTTGGTTGATGTATCCTACATGTAATCAACATATATCTGTTTGTTTGCTTGTTTATTATTACAGTTTTAAATTATTTGGGCTTTAAACTGAAAGCAAAGGAGTATACTGATAATTTCTTCAGTTGGTTCTCCTGTAATCCCCATGGCAGCGACACAAATCTGTGTTTTTTATTTGTCTTCAACAATCTACTGATCATATATTTATCTTAGTTCTCTTACCCTGATGGAGGAAAGCCTTTGGTATTTCAATGGGAAATTATACTTTGTCAAAAGGAGTAGAATTCAGAAGTTTTCACTATCCCAACGATGGGGAGTATATGGTCCCAAAAATTGCAATTTAACACCTTCATCTCCACAATCCCTCCAAATACCTTTTGTCTCAGATGACATAAATGAATAATTTAAGTAAATAAAACTAATTGATTTGTCTTCAAGTTCATTTAAATTTGCATGTGAATATTTACAGTTCAACATTGTAGAAGGATTTGCATGTGTGCCTTTGACCTTATTGCTTCTGAGCTACTCTATGGTAAGGCGAGGCGTCACCTCCTTCTACACATCTAGTTCCACTCAGAAAAAATTCCTGTATTTTCTGTATCAGCAGGAGCTTTGGAGGTGACACTATATAATACTGGCAAAAGACTTAGAGTTAAAGGGAGAGAAATGAACCAGATCCAAAAATCTTTTTCTGACAGGTCTCCCAAGAGTCCGTAACATCTGATTCTCAGAAAAAGGTATCTTACGAAAAGTACATGTCTTTGAATAGAGGAATACTCTTAGCAGTTTGGAAGATTTCGATACAAACTAAAATTTTAGTCTTACTTTGAGTTCTTTATATGAAGACATCATTGTTTCTCTGTTTCTACATTTTGCTTGATACGTCCCAGGGTTGTAATTGCCTTTTAAAGGAGAAGCTGCATGAGGAAGTATCATTCCCTGATAGACTATTATAGCTAGTTCTTACTTTTTTTTTTTTTTTTCTCACTCCTATCTGATCTAGCTCCCAGCTTATTACTCTCCAGGAAAATGATACTGTACTCAACACAAATATGTTTTATTCTTCTATATTGCAGTCACCTATGTAATCCATTTTTTCTGATATTATGATCTTCATTGTACTGGTGACCCCTCACAGTGTTCTACAGTTCATGACATTTACAACAAGGTCATTAATGGAATATTGAAAAATTCTCATCTGTGATGTTCCTGGATCTCAAATCTTAATTTTAATTTTTATTTTTTTCTCCTTTCAACTCAAAACCTTTTCTCTAAGCAATGAGCCCTTGCTGTTTTTAATCACAAAAGTATTTTCAGATGTCTTCAGATAATAATACAAATCACAGTAGATATTGTCTTGTGGAAAGAAAAAGAAAAAGAAAACCAACAACAACAAAAAAACTTTCATATGTACAATCAGGTGACAGCTCTGATATGTCACTGCCAGGATGTCCCTGAGCTATTCAGTTGTGTTTTCCACTAATTTAGGAACTAAAAAACATAAAACAAAAAGCTAGCTCTTTTCTTTTTTTTTTGGGGGGGGGGGAGGGGAAGAAAAATATCCAAAACCAGCAGCAGCCTAACACTTGAGCAAAATATGAACAAAAATCTAATAACTTGAGGATAGTTTAATTGAAGACTTAATGATTATAGGCTATGTCTACATTAGGAATCAGAATATCGCAATACCTGAACATGTAGAATTAAACTATTAATTCCAGAGATCTATCCACTGAAGTATTAGCATATAAAATGGGGTGCTTTCGACAAGCTGCTGTCTTCTCCTGTGGACTGAATGCCCATTAGTAGCTGAATTGCAGGGAGTATGCCATGCTCCTATGGCACATTTCCCAGTGTAATGCCATCTGCAAGGAATCCAAGCTACATGTTCCTAGCGTACTCCACAGTGTGAACCAAAACATATGGCTTTTGGAAGATGATCAGAAGTTTCACTTCAAGTGAATGCTCTTAATACAAAGTACAGTCCTAATGTTGATGTACCCAGAGACACAAAATTAATGTTATTCATTGTTACCTAATTTACCCCTGTAAGAACCTTAATGCCAAATTTAGAGTGTTACTCTAATACTGGCTAATCCCAGAAGTTTTTAAAGTTCCTGTTCCGTCAAATCTATTTTGCAAAGTTTTCCATGTGTCTTTAATTCCTTTGTGAAGGCACTTAGAACAGGCCTAAGACCCTTCCAAAAGCACCTATATGCCAACACCCCCCACCCCACCCCGCCCCAGGATCAGCTTTCTTCACCCATCTTTCATGTAGACCATATAAGGGATTAAAAGGTATTCTTCAGCCGTCCCTGCACTAATTACAAAGACTGAGAAAATCATAGGGTGAAAAATCTCCCTAGAGATAAAGTCACTTACTGTGTACTGAATTTGACAGGTAACAAGACATCAAGACATCTATATCTATGAACTCTCAATTTTTACCAAAGATACAGTTACACCCACAACTCTTATGACATCCTAAAAAAGAGTTGTCTTTGGATTTGTGTTAGCTACTTATATAAGTTAAGAGAACTAACATATCTTTCTTTTCAGGGTCTTATATAAATTTAAATTGTGAATGTTTTTTATTTGACACCTTTCATATAATTACTAGCTTGTTTAAATATCACTCTGCTATTGCCTGAGGTAAATGCAGTAGAAAATCACTACATTCAATTTTACTGTCTTAGAGTTTCATCCCTTCTGTCAAACTGCAACATTTTTTAATTCTGAAGGATAATTTTTATTTTATTTGCTAGTTCATTCCTAATGTGGATGAATAAGTCATAGGCTATCTACTTGCAGTTATAGGACGTTTCCTACATCAAGTTTAAAATGGATCTCTGCATTTTTGTCCTTGTCAGATATTTTTTTCCTCTGCACAATAATGAAATGTAGAAAATATATATATATATATTTTGTATTTAAGTGATTGATAGTCAAATCAACTGCTGTTCATTCTACATCAGATTCTCAAACTTAATATAGACCAACTTTATGGGAAAAAAATGAGCACATACTTAAATCAAACTTTTGCTTCAGAAAAACTTGGAGTGAATTCAAAAGGTGGGTGCTGAGCAGGAACTCTGCATTCATATACAACAGCTGCAGAACAATACAGAACAGTGCTTGAAGTACTCAATAGCAGGGGGAACTGAGCACGCAATTCTTTACCTATTTTACATTAAACTGCCATTAGATAAAAAAACATGTGGCGATGGCAAGAATATAGACCAGAATACAAATACAGTTCTTCCTACTGAGTGCAGTATATTTTGAAATAGGAAAAACAGGTTTAATTCCAAGTCTCCAGCTTCTGTGGCAATTGCCCTAACCAATAACCATGCTACTGTGTGAAAGGCAGCCCCATCCAGGCAGCTGACTGCATCTTAGAATTGGAAGGGGAAGGATATTTACACACAATTTTTTGGCATTTGTAGCTGACTGGTCTTGAAATCACTCTATTCAGCACTCTGGCGTTTGTATATTCTATTCTTAGGTGTCTAATTCAGCACAATGAAATCAGTTCATGGGATAAGCAAATAACCTGTGCTGACACATATGCTTTCATTTGGAGCTGGTCCTTAGGCTACAACTACTGCATTAGGTGTCTACATCCAAAGGTTTTGTACCAGTGACATTTGCAAATCTCTGATATCACTTAGGAGGTGACTAACATTTCCGCTGGTAAAATCCTCACTATAACTAAGCTATTGCCAGAGGCCATGCATATTAACTTCGAACTTCTGACAGCATTAAATTGGTTGGTATCTTGATCATTAGACTCAACATTCATAAAATAGACATTACTCAGTGTACTCAAGCCTGACAAACATTCTGAGTATTTCAGCTGTACTGGAATATCTACAAGAGCTATTGATAAGACCCCACATCAGCCAAAGCCAGGTGGACCTGTCTAGATTTTTTCCTCGGAGTGACCACTCTGAAGGAGGATGGAAACACAGAAAAGTCAGGCTTTAATATTGTAGTATTGTAATATTAATATTGTAGTCTTTCAACTACAATAACTGATTTTGTTGTTCATATATATGTTTTCAACTACATATAGTCTTAGTCTTTCAACTACATGTATATGTTACATATATATATGCATTACATATATATGTAGTATATATGTGTATGTATATATATATATATATATATATATATATATATATATATATATAAAGAGAACATTAAAAAAAAAAAAGGATAAAGACGGAAAAATATAAAAAGAATTTATAAACAGGTTTCCCACAGCCCATCTCCCCCATGATCTCAAAGGCAGGTCTTTGCTTCTATACTTTTCTGTCAAGATGGCAGCTTCCTATCTGCAGAAAATGGTACCGTCCTCTGCAGTTAGTATTAATGTTGCTGCCTTGCTTCTGTCACCCCCAAAGCCTTTAACAAGGCTTTTAGCCTACTCATGACCTGCAGGATCATTATTAAGTGCTGTATGCATCACTGCTTCCTATTCCTTTTCTCTCACCCTTGTGCCTGATCAGATGCTCTCTAGAAAAGGTCCAAACTCCCTATGGAGGGAACCCAGAAGGCCCACTCATCTTGAATTAATATAAATGTAATTTTGAACAACAATTTAAAATGACCAACTGACTGAATGAAATTCTCTGAAGTACTTACAGTTGTGATCCTTACTCTAAGGAAATGATCTTGCAGCAAGTAAACAAACATGCTAGGTCATCCCATTTCTGCATAGCACAAGAGTAGTCACCATTTCCTTGTTCAGCACACTGGCAGTTTTCTACCCCAAGTCTATCAGTCCAAAACACCTCTGCACTGCAGAACAAAGATAGCATCTGTTTCTGCAACACTGCAGGAAGAGTCAGGTGCTACAATATGCATTTGTACAACTGCTGTTCTCTAAAGAATGATGACCAGCAGCCTAGAGTGCTTAAAGAATCATTGATATTGCTACAAAAAATGTTTGAGACACAAATTAAGAAAAACTGAAAATTGAACCTATATTCAAACTGTTTATCTGTGTATTTGTTTGATTTTTTAAATTTAGTACTGCCAACAATCTTTACCAGGCTGGTTTCATAAAGGGAGTTTGAAGCTATTGATTTTAAATGGACATTATTGGATCTCATAGGAGTAATGAAAAAAAGATTCTAGGCAGAATTGTTTGTCCACTGGTATTCATCACTTAAAGCTTTCTGTATTCTGTGATAATGTGACCTTTGTATTTTCTATTGACCACCAGATTTGTATTCAACATAATACTGTATTTAAATATTAATGTATTAATTCATATATCTGTACTATATGTTACCTTTTTTTCTTTTTTTCCATTTTAATCTTAACTCATACTAGAAAGTTTAGATTTGAAAGAAATGTGAAATATGTCCTTGAAAACTTGTAACTAGATCTTATAAATATTACAAAAACAATAATTTTGCATCAGTATGGTGAACAAGTAGCAAAGTGCCTGAAGAATATAAATTGAATGTTCTCTGGAAGAATCGGTAAAGGTTAAAATTCATCATTTTAACTGATAGGCTTTCTTTGGAAAATAACTAATGCAGTGAATACAAAATACTACAATAATTTTGTGTTTCTACTCACTGTTTATTTTTTTTCTTGAAAAACAATAATAAACCATATATTTTTTTCCCATTCATTCTGAAATTAAAGTTTGCTATGATGCTTGTCTTCATACACAATTGATAGTTTTTCCACTTTAAATTGAAACATTTTATCTGAATGGACTGAACACTTCTGACCATTTCAGGAAAGGCTGCAATCTGATAGGAAATGCACTGTGACTTAGATCTTTTTTGGAAAAGACCTAGACAAGGTATGAAGACTGGTTGCTAAATACCACATTTACTATCACAGTTTCCATAGTGATTTTCAGACTACAACAGGCTGGAGGCTAAACTAGAAAAATAGGCATAAATACAATTTATGCTACAAATAACAGCAGTATTTAGAAGCATCTGTTTGTCCTAGTCACTGCACCAATACCAATAGTCAACACCTTTTATTTTCAAGGTATTACTGAGTGAAGTAGAAAGGTATTGCCATCTTTCTATAGTTAAGAAAATTAAATGATATATTTTTTTCCACAGTTGTATAGGAAGATTGTCGCAAATGAACCCAGGTCAGTTGAGCTTTGTTCCAGTATTAAACTGGACTTCAGTTTTTCATCAAGTATCTTTACTTTCTTTAGCTGTTATTTAAACTTCAGATTAACTTCCAATGCTGACAGCCTGAAGCTGACTTCTACATAAACTAGGTATCAATTTGTGAAGATTAGCTAATTCCAAGTATCAGGCTATCATAGAATATATATGATACCTGATACCATATGATACATGGACCAAAGTATTAAAGTAATATTATTAAATATTACTTAAATATTATTAAAGTAATATTAAATTAAGTAATATTGTTTCTTTCTGCCATGTCAATACGTCTGTCTACAGAAGACCCTCAGTACTGTGCCCTTTGTTCTTTTGGGTTGCAAAACAGGTTTTTAATTGCTTTGCCAAATTTAGGACTACTAGTATGATTGCTCTGTGTAGTAAAACAGGGCATACAGGGTCCAGATTTGTACTTAGCATTGCTGGCACTCTGACTACCACTAGTTCAAACATTCACAGATTTTCTCCATTAGGTAATCATCGCCCACCTTGACTGTCACGCATTCTGTGATCCCCAAGAACAAACTCTGTGGTAGACAGACCCAACAGCTTTTCACGGAGCACCATTTTGATACGCTAAAAAAGGAGCTGCAGACACTTGTATCTAAAGTTCATGTGCAGAGTCTGTACAGTAGCACTGAAGGTTATGGACTGATTTTGCTTTTTTAATTCACCTTCAAACAGATGTATCCCCCCAGCTCAAATCCCTTAAAAGTTCACCACAAAAGGCACAATGATTCTGAGTGTGTGTTTGTATGTGTTCACCCTTAATCTTTACATTAGCTAAGAATTATTCCTGCTTCCTTTATGTCTTTCTCTCTCTCCCTCCTCCCCCCCCCCCCCCCCCCCCCTCCCCCCAATCTCTCTTCCTCTCTTTTTTCTCCTTTCTGCAGGCTATTCAGATAAGGATTTTCATTGTCACTGTTCCCACTTTATTCTGAATAAGTGGAGTCTACGGAAAAGCAAAACTCATAAAAGAATGAGCAAACACTGATGGCACCATTGGACTAGAATTTAAAGCTATCGCACAAGGACACTGTTAACATTTATCCTTCTCTCTGTAGGCCGACAAATTAAAATATTACTTGAAGTCTTGGATCAGTTTCTGCTACAGAATTTCATTTTGATTGATGTCCCTTATTAATATCAGTGATGCTAGTTAGCTTTAAGACACCCCAAAGGTTAGTCAACTAGTTAAAACTCCAAATGAACCTCATGCCAGCTGTTTAGCCCCTTGAAAGTTTTGCTGAGCATTGACAGAAGACCTTATCAATCATTACAATTAAGCACTTTCAGACTGTCCCTTCTAAGGGGAGTCAGTTGAAGTACCATCTGCTATTTTGCTTTTAAAATTCACTGGCCTCCTTCTCTAAGTTTCACTTTTGAAATGATGTTTCTTGTACAGGAGAGCAATGAGCTGATGAAGAAAACTTTTTGTTTTAATAATCAGCAGTTTTTATGATGTGACATAATTTTTGCAGTGCTCAGGGCCTTTTGCAAATCAAAAGGAATCCAACTAAAACGGTAATTAATGTCAAATGACTAGTCACATACGGCCCCATTTAATTAAAGTTCTAATCTTTGATTAAACCTCCGCACACGTTCCTGTGATTGCAAACTGTTGTCTGAAAAAAAAAAAGTAATTGGGTACATAATCTATTGTGTCTTCTAACTGACACCTGCTAATTGTCTCAAGAGCAAATGGCAGCAATTTTATTAGAAAGTTAAAAAGTATATCTTAAAATTGATTTTCATATTCTTTTTTTTTTTTTTCCTGAATTATATATTCCTGTATTACACTGTGATGATTTCTTTGTGAATTTATCCTTTCTAGGAGTTTTGTGTTAAGAAATTTATTCCATTGTCTTTCCAAAACATGCTTTCCTTTAGTAAATACAAAACATGATTTACTGGTCTGTACTTTTAGTGTGCAGTTAATATGTAAAACACTATTCATTTAATTTTTTTCCCTAAATATTGACTAATCTGCACAGCAGCCATTGCAAATAAATTTCTATACCCCAAGCTTGCAAGAAGAAATACAGGAGGAATAAGCCACAAAGATGAACTCGACAGGAATTCTGGCTAATTCAGAATTTCATCTGGGGAAAAACTGGCAACTATAACATTCTTCAGCAATATGGTGAAGGAGCTTATTTGTCTTCCTTTTCCTTTTGAGATCTTCAGGACCAGCAGTACAAACCAGACTGCTGGCCAGGCAAATAAAACTTGGTGTCACTGAAGTCAGTAGGAAAATAGCTGTTAATAGCTGTTAATTTCAGTGGATACAAAATTTTAAGGCAATGGTACCTTACTGAAAGGAGACACTTGTGGTGTTCTTGCTTCCTAGGCCTATGGCTAACCAACTCTAGATTTTTTTTTCTTTTGTCTCAGGCATGATCATTTGATGTTTACAGATTTTCTGAGCTAGAGCTGTGGTACTACAAATATATTGCTATCTCCAGCTAAAATTCCCAGCAGGTATTTTGTATTCTTTATGTCTTGCTTTACCAATATTTTAAAAAGCCCTTTGGCATGTTGAATGAAGTACTTCTGGGAAGAATACCACCACTGTCTTTTGAAGAATCTTTGAAAGACACACATAAACCCACAAGCCAACTTGTAGGTGAAGTGTCTCTGAAAATATGTTTTGGTTATGATGTTTTCAGGTGTAGTTGAGCATCTCCTCCAGTCAAAATTACCTACGTGGGTGCAATCATTTCTACCTTTCTAGAAACACCAACAAAATCCAAACTCACCCTAGTACCTGCAAATGGTATGCCCATCACATCACGGTGGTTGTTGTGAAGAGGTCCATGTGGGATGTCCTGGGTGCGTCTTCTAACTGAACTCTAAAGACAATTCCAAGTCCACTGAACAGTATCTGTCCTTTTTCACCTGTAATACAAAGAAAGAAAGAAAATAACTGCCTTCTCTGTCTTGCAGACAGAAAATTGTAACACAGCAAACCCATTCAAGATCACAGGGCCAATCAGTGTTTAGAGACAGCAAAATAAACTTGTGTCACTTGCTTTCCACATTGCTGCTCTACTGTCAAAATATAAAAATAGCTATTAATATATGTGAATGTGTACAGACAGATAAAGGTAAAGATGATCTAGATAGCTTTTGTGACTTTTACTACAGCAAGTCAGATGCAGCATGCTGATAGAATAGTAAATAAACACAGCAGAAATCTTCAAAATCTTTCAATTCAATGAAATCTTGAATTTCATAGAAATTCATCAACTTTCAAATGTCCAAATTTGGATTCGGTTGGCCAAATCATATATATTTTTTTCCCCATTTACAGTATCTTCAGCTATTCATCTCTTTTTTCTTCCCTGCTTCATGCTTTCATTATCACTCATCTGCTGTGACCTCTTGGCAACCATAACATTCTTGCCTCGAATCTCCCTCTTCCAGTCCACTCTAAACACTGTGGCCAAGGTTATCTTTCTGGTTCACCATTCTGGTTGTGTCATCTTATGTCTCAGTCTCTCAGGTGGTTTTCTGTCTCATTACACTACAAGGTAAAATTTCTCCTCTGCAATTTCAAGGTCCTGCAAGAGTCTGCCTTAGCCTACAAATGAATTTCTTGCTCTTTCCTGCTCAGTCCTGCCTACTGTGTGCATCCTTAGCTCATGCATGACTTCCTATTTTTTATTTCCCAAAACTGTTTTCAGTGCCTAAAATATCCTCTCTGCTCTGTCATGCCAGCCAACCTCACTTTCTTCATTCAGGTCCCATCAAAAGATTCATTACTAAACACCTGTCCATTCATACATCACACCATGTAGTTTTGTTCTTTAGTGTTTTAAGTTGTGTAAGTTACAGAGAAACAAACCTGAAGATCCTAGATGCGTGCCAAACACACTGCTCAGCAATCATTTTGCCGCCTTGCAATTTCTTTCCTTTCTATCCAGTTTGTTTTACATACCGAGCAAATTTGGCATAAGTACTCTGGGACAAAGTCTTGTTTTGAAAATTCCAGGCATTTGTGTAGTAGCACATATACCAATGACTTTGAAGAAAATTATAATTACAGAACCTTATTTGTTATCTCGCACTACACTGTAAATAAACATACAAAGAAAAATATACATAACCTCATTAAGTAGCATACAAATATATTTGGGTTAAGTAAATAACAGAAATGTCTCCAAATGTTTCTTCCAGACTTATACTCATGCAAAGGGAAAGGAATAGTTTTATTATGTGTGAGTCAGGTATAATTGATGGATTTGATTCCCTGACCAGATTGCCTTTCCTCTCTTTCAAAGATTGACCACAGCCAGATGATACATATTTAAATCACAGCTTGGACTTTATCATGGACTAAAGCATACCTTTTTTTTTTTTTTTCCTCCATTAAGACAAGGCCTCTGACAGTCTGCTATAAGCTCCATGACTCTTGAAAAAGTCTTGTTCTATGTTTTGAAATAAATATTGCCTTTATTTTCTTAAGAAAGAAATAACAGATGAAGTTTATATAAATTACAAATGTTAGGAAAAGTTGGCACCATTTTGATCTCTCTTCTCTCAAAATAAAAATAATTTTAAAAAGGAAATAAAATCCCACAGACAGAACCCTTTATTTGTAGAGTTCCCTTAGGCAAGGAGCATATCAGCTTCTTTATCATATAAATCTTTCCCATAACTCAGTTATAAAGCAACTGGATGCTATATCCATTTTCAGTTAAATTAACGTCTGTGAATCTTTACCACTGATGACATTATAATATCAGAAGCATTTAAGGGAAACTGCTTTCAGTTTTATTGACAGAAGTAGTAAGAAACAAAAGACACTTGCAGCAACAAATAAGCTTTTCCTCTTTCTTAAGAAAATGAGGTGCACATGATTTATTTGTTTTAGCTTAGATATGAAAAGAACTAAACAGGGGAAAAAAATGCAAAAGCAAACAAACAAAACCAATGCCTGGCCACATAAGGTTTGCCTCTTGATGTGCAATTAACTTGATTAATTAACAGTATGCTTCTTAAACTGTAACATGTAGATGAGTTAAGTGAGAAAAAAAAAAAAATCCCCTAAAAAATTCTGTATTGAATGCTATTATGGGAAAACAGCAACCCCCTCCCCAATTTATCAAGGTAATTGAAACAGCAAAAGAGATAAAGATGTGTCATCACAAAGTGATATAGAAATTAATCTCTTTGAGAGCTCAGCATGTTACATTGATCACTGGCTGTCTAAATTCAAGCATGCATTCATGTTAGTTGTGACATTCACTCCAAACATCAGGAGATGTAGACTATGTAACATATAGCAACTCATCATCTATCTATTCTAAAAACATTGATAAAAGTTTGCTTATTCTTTCTTGGAAATACAGCAACAATGCTATAAAAACTGACATCTACCATTAAAAACTTTTTACCTTTAAAATTGATGACACCTGTTAATGTCAGCTGTGATTGTGTTGATCCTACTAAAAATGTATCAGAGACTCTACTCTCCACTCTGTGGTGCTAGTGAGTCAGGGTTGATAATGAGTAAGTCTAAAGATTTTGTCTGAAAATATTTCAAAGAAAAGTCATAATCCACTCAACAAACTGTTTCTTTTGTAGCATATCTCTGAACCAAATTAGAGTAATATTTCAGTTTTGCAGCCTCATATATTTACATACATAATTTCAAATAATTTCCACTAGCTTTTAATGGGATATTTTACTCCATCTGACATGGAAGAGACTTTTTGATGCATTCATTGCAAACTAAACTTCTGCTTACCTATATTAAGCTAAAATAAGTATTTTCAGTATCACAAGGTTTACTCTTACTTCCATGATAATCAATAGCAATGTTCTATCTGATTTCAGAAGGATGAGGATAATTCCCCATATTTAAGTCCTCCGTTATCTGCCTCCTAGACTTTCATTTCTACTGAATTAAACACATTTATTCAATGCATATTACTCAAAGTTGTTTACTTGACTGCAAATAAATATAATATAATTGGAAATGAATTATTTTATGCTTTTGTGAAGAGTTGCATGGGCAGAAGCAATCATGTAAAGCAATTCTGTCATTTTTCTTTTTTTTTTTTTTCTTTTTTTTATTTTCTTACTTATGTATGTTTTTAAGGTATTTGTCCTTGTGTCTTAAAGATTAGGATCTGCCAATAGTCATAACTGGTTTTAGCTCATGGGTCTCAGTTTCCATGTTGTGGAACACAGCACTTTTCCATTTAACATTCCATTTTTGTCTCTGTGTAATTTTCAGTGCAGTGGCATTTAGAAAGGCTGACAAAACCTCAATATTTCTTTATTCTGCAGGTCAATATTTCAAATAATTGTCCTGAAATACTAAAAAAGTTAGTTTCATTATTGGTAGCCTTGTCACCAGGCATTTACCCCACAAAAAGGAAGAACATTTTTTTTATAATTTTTATCTATTAAAGTGTCTAGATATGCTTAATATCAGAAAGGACATGCTAAACCCAGTGTTCAGTAGGATAAGAGTTAGGCCTAAGTTATACTATAGATGATTATGAAGTGATTTAATTAATTCTGAATTTATGCCAGTCATACATACTAGCAAGTCCCCCAAAGTATTAGTATTTGACTGACTGTTCATTAATCATCTTTTTTTTTTTTTTCCTATAATGTGATCGGGTGTGAACATTAACTATTGTTGTTTTTATTTTTGGTCCGTTGACTGGAAAGCGGATGTATATACTGGAGACTATCCACATCTTGTACACTAAATAATAATACTTACAAAGAATACTTCCACCAAACAGAATGAAGAGATGAAGTATTAATCTGCAAATAAACTTAGTAGAGGCTGCCAGCTGTAAATTGGCATTGTTTCTTATTTTAAACTCTTTGAGCTAGACAGTGTAAGCAATTCAGTCTCTCTGTGGTCTTTCAAAATCCTCCTGTGAATCTACTCTCTCTATATTTTTTTTATTATTATTATATAACTTTTATTTTATGTATTTACTGCAGAATAAGTGGCTTTTCAGACATTTGGGCATAATTCCCAGAGTACTATAGCCAGTTGTTGTTTGAGACTTTTGCTGTTTATTATGGAACAAAAGATAGTAAAGCCCCCTCTTTGTGAACTTTTTCCATAAAATCTGTAAATGAAAGAGTTTGCTATATGAATATTTTAAGAATAGTCACATGATAAAATTTAGAATTCTATTCACCTATTAATTGAGAGAGAGCTGGAGAGGGAGGGGAAGAGAGAGAGGGAGGTAAGAAGGGAGAGAGAAGGAGAAGAAAAGGGAAACGGAAATGGAAATGGAAACAGAGGGAGTGGAAGTTCTTCTAAGGAAGAACCTATGATTCAAAGTTCATTAATTAACTAAACTTGTCTCCATATCATTTCAGTTGTTTAAGCACTTTTATGTTTGCATCATGTGGGACTAATGATCACAAGATGATCAGGTACATGAAGGTTTAAATCTGGATGTATTTTGATGATCCTTAGTAGGAAAGCACAAGTGTTTGTAAAATTATTTGTGAAAAATTACCAAAACTTCTGTTAAAACTTCTGTTCTTCTGGTAAAATTCTGCATGAGAGCAGAATCAGGATCACACCTGTAATGCCAGAGTGACAATTTATGTCTGCAAAAGAAGTGAACACTGTGCTAACATGATTACAGCCTTTAATAATAAAGACAATGATCAGGAATGCATCTTTCTCTTAGGGTAGAAAACAGCAAAGCAATTTAAAATGTACTTCTTCAGCACTTTTGTATATGATTATGTATTGTAATAAGAGCTCAGTAATATCTGAACTCAGAAATTTTGGTGACCTAATATATTTCATACAGCTTAGGTCCCTGACACCACCTATTAGAAGTGATTTTATCTTTCTTCTGGTCTTATGTGGCCTTCTCTTCTCTGTTATACAGGTTTTTGATGGA